GTTTCAGAGCGACAAAAGTGTTTCAGAGTAGAGAATGGAGCTACTTGAAAATTATTAATAAATGGTTTTTAGTAAATTCATTTGAAATGAGCAAGAATATTACTGATCATTTGTCAGTAATATTCATCAGTAATATTCATCATCTCACCCAYATATCCTGTCACAAATTAACTGTGCTGGACAATTAAATATAATTTATAATTGAAATAAATTTGGAAACAATGTTTTATCTCTCAGAGAACCYTTTCTGATAAATAATTGAGAAGTGTCAGGAATGTGTATCTAGCTCAGTTTTTTACTACTGTAAAAAACAGCTGTCTGGACACATTAAAAACAAGTGAGCACCTTTGAAGTATTGATAGGAATAGAAGAGAGAAGAGTGCCTTGCCTGCTGTTCATGTCCCTTGTTTGAGATAAAAACATCGCTGTGAGAAAATAAGGGTACTGCCTATAGTGTGTATTCTTAGGTATAACTTGGGTTATAACTTGGCACTGCATATTTTTCATATTATGAGCAGCAAAACTCCTGCCTCTAATGGAAAACTACTTAGGTTATAGGCTAAGTGAGCATGAAGGTGGCAATAAAAATAAATCTGCCATGTATTTTGTGCCAAAGTATCRACTTTGCTTCATTTATCATAGCCTCCCATACTTTTAGTCAGTTCTATAACTACCAATAATTTGTCAGTCATCACAGAATATTTCAGATACATTTTGTAAGCTGTGTATGCAGTATAGAAACATTCTCCAGTTACTGTTTAACTAGGTGTCACATGCAGTATTCTTTGTCAAACTTCAGTGAAAAAATCTGTGATTATATTCATCTACAGACTTAATATTAACTGATTGCATTCATAAAGTAACAGGATAAATCCAGACTGGCTTCARAATTGTATCTAATAATACATAAGCTACATAAAGTGTCACATGCAATTATTGCTAAAAAGATCAAAAAGTACTTTATACAATCATAGAATTCTTAAGGTTGGAAAAGACTTCTAAAATAATCAAGTCCAACCATTAATCTAACACCACMAATTTCACCACTAAACCATGTCCCTATGTGACATGTGATCCAGGGATTGTGACTCAACTACTTTCCTGGGAAGCCAGTGCTTATTCCAATGTTTGACAACTTTTTTATGAGAAAATTTTTCCTAATATCCAATCTCAACATGCCCAGGCACAACTTGAGACCATTTCCTCTTAGGAGAAGAGACCAACTCCCACCTTGCTACACCCTCCTTTCAAGCTGAAACCCCGAGTCTCGTTTTCTCCAGGCTAAACACCCCCAGCTCCCTCAGCTGCCCCTCAGAAAACAGGACTGGCCCCAAATCTGAGTCCTGGGGAACACCCCTGGTGTCCAGCTGGCAGCTGGGTGTGATTCCATTCCCCTTCACTCTCTGGGCCCAGCCAGTTTTTACTCAGCAAARAGCAAACCCATCCAAGCCGTGAGCACTCGGTATCTCGAGGAGAATGCTGTGGAAGTTCTTTTCCACACCATCCAGGAAGTTTCTAGAGTGCTGCTTCTGAGCTGTGTTTCTGCATTTCCAGAGGACATCTGGTAAGCTGAAGTTCCCCATGAGGAAAAGGAGAGGTGACTGTGAGACTTCACCCATCTGTTGAAATTGTCATCTTCCTCTTCATTCTTTTTGGTGGTCTGTAACAGACTCCCACCAGAACATCTGCCTTGTTGGCCTTCCTCTGATTCTCAACCACAAACACTCAACCCTGCTGTCACCAAGCTCCAGACAGTCAAAACATTCCCTTCCATACAGAGCTGTCCAAYCTCTTCTTCCTTGCCTGTCCTTCCAAGGAATTTAGAGCCGCCCATGGCACCCTCAGGAGTGCAAATCATCCCGTTGCATCTCTGCAACTCTGCCATGGCTTTGCAGCTGCACAAAGGCTTCCAGCTCCTCCTGTTGTTGTCCCTGTGCCTGCATCGGTGTAGGAGGACTTTGGGCTATTGATCCCACCAGCTTTTTGTGGGGAGAGCCCTCATTCCTGTGTGAGCATTCTCAGGTGCTTTCATGGTGTCCAACTCATCAATAACTCTGTCCTTGCAGCCTCATGGCTCTCCAGCCCCTCCCTCTGCTGAGATGCTAAAGGACCTCACCAGCCACCACCCCTCAAACATTGCTGTGCTGTCCCCAGGTTTATCTCAGGTGAGCCTGGTTTTATATCTTTGCCCCTTCAAATCCAGTTTAAGCTCTTCACTAAACCCTGATAACTCCTGTGCAAAGATCTTTTCCTGCTTTGAGACAGCTGTACCCCTTCTGTCACTGGCAGGCTTGGTGTCATGTAAACCGACTCACGATTATAATTAACACAGTTGAGAGTTCGTGTAACTCGAAGTATGAAAGCAAAAARTGAAATTAATTATTTTCCTCTCCCTTGGATGGTTACTTATCAAGCCAGGCCTCATGAGGACATATGATGTATTTCAACTAGAAAAAAAAAAAGAGCACCACATAATTACACAACTCCTTGGAGTAATGGGTTTGTATCCTTGAAAATTCTCCAGAAAGTATTCTAACTGTGTGAATCACCTCAACTATTACATTGCTGTCAGTTCAGACAAATGATGCATGCAAACACATGCTTGTACAAACAAACAGGGTGTTCATAATGCAACATTTTAATATAATTACATCATCAGGTAATTAGAATGTGCAGTTATATGTCTCACCTTTCTCCTTCTGCGACTGAAAGTAAAGCTAACTACTAAAGAAAGATTAATCTTTATTAGTGACAATTGAGTTAATGGTTTCTAAACATGAAAAGGAAGAGAAAAGCCTAAAAACGTGAGATTTTCCTAGACAAGCAACTTCTGCTATGTAAAAACCTTCTGTACAGCAAGTCATTATTTTCCTAATTGTTTAAAGAAATAGAACAAAGTTTGAGAGTGTAAAGCAGAAAACCAATGGATCACTAATAGTGAAATAAACATCTATAGTGACATGGGTGCAATGCTACTACTGARCTCAGAAATTAATATTTTTCATGATTTGTGCGGAAAATCTTTTATCAAAACACTGCTTTATACCTAGTGATTAAAAATATCAGATTAAAACAGAATTGCAGTATTTCAAGAGTCCTAATGACTATTTTCATATTACTTATGGAACTGCATTAAGAGCAAAACAGACACTGCAGATCTAAATTCACATGCCATATTTGACCACATTTCCTATGCATTCTATAAGCCCAGTAAGTCACAGTTTCTTTCAAAAGTCTCATGTTTAATCAGAAAGCACCATTTTATTATACCTCCTAGGAACTGGATTCAGCATGGTTGGTGATAGAAGAAAAGGCAAAAGAAAGAAGAAAGAAGAAAAAAAAAATACTTCATGTGGAAAAAGTAAAAGAAAAAAGTTGGAAAATTCTAATCCTGACTGAAAGCATTTAGGATCTTTTCTATCCTGGGGCAAGGCTTGCATTTTTACTGCATATATTGGATGATAAAAAACCATATTGAAGACATGGACTGTATTTGAATGTGTCTGTTTTGATGCATGTACAATTAACACAGTGGATTTACATTATTTCTTGGAAAACAAGATGTGTTATGTAGAGTAAGTGTATTTCTGACCCTCAATAAAGAAAAAAAAAATGCTTATCACTATTTATGTTTTATGTGGCTGATTGTATGGATTAGTGAGCAATAACCCCTTTCTGCGAAGTACATAAATACACACTTCTGAGTTTTTTGTGACTTAGTAAAGTTCCTGTTTGTCTGAATCTTTTATATGAATAAACTGTGTGCAAACGACACATTTATGCCATGTTCTTGCTTTTCATCCTTATACATCAAAGTGAATTGTGAGAGAGAACTCCTACAAGGAGCATGTGGAACCTGGAAGAATCAATGCGGCACACTACCTGAGAAACAGATGAAAAGTCATACTCTCTTTCCTGATAATTCAGCTGGCATAATAAAATTGTTCTATTGATAAAATTGTGCTGCATTATCCATTTTTAGCAAATAAGCAATATTTGCATCACTAACAGGAAACTGAACCTGTTTGGACAAAAAGCTTTCACAATAAAGACTTGATTTGGAGTGCTGGGTTATGACTACTGCAAATATTACCCATCATAATAAATTATTTTATAGCTAAGAATTCTTAGACTACTATATAAATTTACTCTTTTCTTCCAAATCACAAGTAAATTTTTCACAGTATGATTTTCATAAGGAAATAAATAAAGGCATAGAGTACCCAACGCCTTAAATCTCCAGTTTTGAACTTCCTGTCAACATCAAAATCATTCACTATGAGAGCATAGAAGAAATTTCTTCACTGAGAAGGTCACTGAGCTTTGGAACAGGCTGCCCAGGGAAGTGGTGGAGTCACYATCCCTGGRGCTATGAAAAGATGTGCAGATGTGACACTTRAGGACATGGCTTAGTGATGGCCTTGGCAGCGCTGGATTAATGGTTGATTTGATGATCTTAAAGATMTTYTCTAACCTAAACAACTCTATGCTTCTAAGAATTTAGGAAGAAAGGGTCCTGCCTTCCAAACAGCCAATCAACCTCATATTTAAGAAGTTTAAGACCTCAAGAAGACATTTCTGCATTCCTCTCAATAACTATAGTGAAGAAAATGCAGCGGAAGTATAAAAACTTAGTTCAACAGCACCAYGTCTACTAATTAATTTTCTTTCTCCTCAAGATTCTCTGGAACACTAAATACAATATTATCTCTCTTTAAGATTTCTTTSCCCCCCAGAGGAAAATAACTATATGAAAACTGCCCAGCCATTTACTATGAAAATTTGCATCGTTATCTCTTCTTATTACTGCAACRGAGCGTGTTGACAATAGGCTACCAAATTAACATTTCTCATGTATTTGAAAGTAATGGAGAAAAACTAATTCAGTTAAGCTACAAAGAATAAACTCCATGCAAATTACATAACTTCCATAAATATCAGATATGCTTGATAAACTCTCATGTTTGTCAAATGCCTCTACAATGAAGTTCTTGGCTTACCTGCCACTGTTTCATGAGGTCCCGAACCACTTTGGCATCCTCTAGTGTCTTTTCTTTGTGTGTAGCATCCTGCAGGACATTTGCAGTTGTTTCAGCTTCTGTCAGCCAAGCAAGGAACTTTTCGAGGTCCAGGTAGAATTGCTGCAGCATTTTTAGGGCTGATTCCAGAGCTGCCTCACGTTCACAAACCCTGCACAAGTACAAATAATCAAACACATCGGTCTTTGGAAGAAAACAAACCTTAATCATTAAATCAAAATATAGCAAAGACAMACTAAATATTTTTCAGATACCAGTCAAGGTAAATTTGCTGATACATTAGCTACAGAACTTGCATTGTATGGCAGGTAGGGTTCTTTTTATATCATGTTTTTAAATATTTTTGTATCTTTTCAGCTGAGAAATAGTAACTGGAATCTGTCTGATAAAAAAAATTAAACAAAAGCTCTTCTTTCAAAGTACTATGCCTAAAATACGCAAAATTTAAAACAAACAAAMAAAAAAAAAMCAAAATCAGAAATAATTCCCTGGTTTGTTTCAATGAAAGATTATTTTTTTTTTACACTACAGTGAAAATACTAGTGTATTTTTAGAAATCACAAAATGGTTCCTGACCACTGCACAGTATGATAAATTTAATGATTAGTTTTCATGACTTGAAAATTTTGGAGATTGTGTTCAACACTGAAAACCCTAATAACACTGCAGTTTGTGGCAGGTTTTGTGGTTTCTTTTTTTTCTATTATTATTTTATTTTCACTATGARTGTGATAAATTACAAGGATGATCTCTATCAGTTACACGAAAAAACACAATGTTTAAAGGCAAAGGCTACCTTATCCTTAGGGAAGATCTAACTCATGGGTTAGAAAAGAACACTAAATATTTCAGCAATTCTGGTGTTAAAAAACATTAAAGTAGATCTGTATTACATCAACATTCATGTACAATGCAGGTGTCACATATTTGCTGATTTTTTTTTGCTTTGAAGTTGAGAAAAATATGATTTTAGAAATGTGAGCAGCTAAGTATAACATTGTTCATTATCAYGAGTCCACCAAGGCGACCTCCCTATTGCATTGCATGCATATTTTCTTAACAGGATAACTGAAGAAATTTTCAGGCTCTGAAAATACATAGAAAATTCATTTGGTAATCTACATTGTTTCAAGTCAAATGAATGCAATTTGATGCACACCTATGTTAAGTCTACACATCTGTGGTGGTCTTCACATATCTTGATAGATTACCTGTCTAGTTTTGTAGTTACTTAAGGAGAGATTAGGATATTGGATTTGAGCAGACATAATTTCTCAAGTTGTAATTTATGAGATGAGGTCACGAAATTTTCAAGTGCTAATCTCTCTCTCTAATCCTGTTTCCTGCCATGAACTGGTTGTACTCCTTGAGAAGTAATGATATCACCCTAAACCCCAGCACACTAGTTGAAGTGTGAAAAGACAAAAAAATCACCACCACAAGTTTTGCCAAATGGCACTGATTTTATATGTTTTTGGACAAGCATGTCAGTAAACTGCAGCAGAAGATAGTAAGAACAGAAAAATTCAGAGTACAGGCAAGGACAACCATTTCAGAAAAAAAAAAAAATCTTCCCTGCAAGAGTAATGTCACAATAGCTGCCATACTTCTTACTACATTTTTAATCCTTTGACATCTTTTTTTGCTTTTCCCAACCATTTTGTTAAAAAAAGGAATTAACTTTTTATTCAAAACCCAAGAAAGCTATTGCATGCCTCAATACAAACTCCTCCATCAATATTTTCAAAGTTTAAAAATGGACTGGATTTTCACCTCAGCTGCACCTGTTGCCACCTACAAGAATTCTGCACGTCATGGCACTGCTTAGCCTGCATTAGAATGTGTCCTCAGGGGGCTGTCAGTAGGAAATACTTATCTGCAGAACAGTGAGCATGATTTCTTTCCCAACTTTATTCTACGTGGGCATAAATGTGGCTTGTGATTTAGCTACTCTTCAAATTTAAAATAACTGCAATGAAAGAATTTTGCTGTTCTTTTTTTAAACTRTAGAATAATTACATAGAAATTACACAGACATATATTAGCAGTACACATTAAAAGATAAAAAGACATCATAGAAAATCTTTTACCTGGAAAATACTGTATTGACCTATTTACCACTTTTAGCTCAAAACCAGCATCACATTTATTCAGTGCAACTTGGAAATGGAATAAACTTGCATGAACTAAATGTATTTTTTTCCAGTTCTTTAGAACACAATTCTATTATAAGATATGCTTTATAGCATTATTCTAATTCAATTTACAGTGTACAGATGTTAGTTAATATCAGTGCCTTTGCAGAATCACATATAATAGTTTTTTCCCATGGAGTTCCTTCAGAATATGAAARGCATATTTTTAACCACTGTATACCTGAATTCCTATAAATACACAGCAATGCTCTAATAATTACATTCTGCAAATACACAGTGAGATTTTAAAAAATCCTTCAAACAGCACTAGCACAGATATTTAAAGGGAGAGCAAATCGAAGGATTACTAAAAATCAGAATTTGTGCCTGGAGAAACTCAGACTTCATGAAAAAATGTTGCATTTTATTGATCTGGGTAAAAGAATGAAGYTTTTATCATGAAGAATCTTCTGGCAATTCTATGAATCACAAATAACTTATGGCACATAATTCTTTCAGTCTACAGAAATGTGTTTCTTATCTATAAGCATACTAATACACCCACCAGAGAATATGTAGATTTGCATTTTAAATTTTGGTACAGCTCACACTAACATGCAATAAATACTCAGCTACATTGACAGTTCTGCAGCATATCAATAAACTTCACTCTACTTGGCTTTCTCACTACAAAAGTATGAGGTTAAAATAGAGAAAAGGTCTAAACATGAAGAATAAAACTGAACATCAAATCCAGCATATGAAAAATTGCACAAAATCAGAGGGGAGAAAGAAATATATATATTGAACAAGACATTATTGCAAAAAACCCCAAACAAATAAAGATGCTTTCTCTTTAGTTTGTATTATCCAGATGTGTTTAATTTCATAGTGAGTGCAAGCTGYAAGAAAATAACATGAAGTAACCAGAATGATATTTAGTATAAATGGAAAACTGTGCAGTGCAAACACTACAGTATATTTCTAAAATATTAACAGATAATAATTTTTTWAAAAAWWAATGAAATAACAATGATTTAATGACAATCAGTGATACTATGATATAAAAATAATTACAGAGTGTATAACCAAAAGMTTCTTATTCAAGGGAGAAACACTAAAGGTGGGTTTTATCTTATTTTCACTTAGACACCCAGAGGACAGGCAATTACACTCCCTCTACGAAACATGGACAGTAGCATTTCTGAAATTTAGTTATTCCTTCATTGGCTATTCCTCCCTACACAGCTGTTGTACCAGATCAATGTCAGAGCAATTTTTTTTTCTCCTGACTACAACAGTAAATCACCTATACCTTAGACAATTTTAATTTTACATAAGCCTTTTTTTTTTTTTTTTTTTTTTTTTTTTTTTTTTATCTAAAAGTTGGCAAGATGGCCCCAAATCTTTCGAAATTTGATTTCTACAAACTCATGACAGTGGACTCACCAGCTCTAGTTGTCACATGAGTTTTGTTGCAGGACARATGTTAKGATGMRATTTCAAGAACAGCTGAAAGCATTGAGTTGAGGGGAAAATGGTGGCATGTAAGAGGAAGTGAGTCAAGCAATGTGTGAACATTTGTACTGCCAGGAAGACGTTTTTTAAAGGTTTTAAAGAAAAATCCACAAAAAAAGGAAAGTTACCAGCCTCTGCTTCCGAACATTGCAGTCATGCTGGGAACTTTTGAAGTCAATATTTTTAAAACATAGTGGTGTACAAATGATTCGGAAAATAAGCCAGGGAAAATTAAATCTGTGCTGTCTTCAAGTTCATAAGAAAGGTGTTGTATTAATTATTAACTTAAAAAAACAGAGTTTGTACCATATATAAAACAAAATACAACATCTATATAACTGAGCATCTCATTACAGAATTTAACAAGAAGCAGCGACTATAGAAATGACGGTGTCATTAAGAGTTGGACTTGATTCTTGTGGGTCCCTTCCAATTCAGAATATTCTGATTCTGTGATTGATAGCATCACAAGAGTGCTTCATTCAGCACTACCCAATCCCATAAAACTCAAGGAAAACTCAAGTGTTTGTAGAGGCTCTGTGAGTGGGAATATCAGACTTTTCTTCAACTGTAGTATTTGCTGCATAATTTGGAATGAATCATTCACATTTTATGAGTATCTGTTTGAGTATTTYAAATTGCAATGCTTAGAGTAGAAGATACACTGCAAGGGCCAGGGTGTGAATAATGCTTTGAGATGCTCAGATAACAGGACACACAGTAAGAGCAGAGCAAAATAACAAATTCCTGTTCCCCTGGTACTTCTCTAAGAGCAATAAAAGTAAAGCAACTCCGTATCATTCAGTGTTCAATAGATCACTAAATCACACTTCCATCTGCAGTCTGGAGTGATCTAAAGTTACCACACTGACATGTAAAATAAAATATCCTGGACTACTGGCTGATGAAATATCAGGAAATGGTTTTACTTCTGTAGTTCATGTGGTTCTGTCTCAATATTTTTTTCTTTTCTAACATTAAAATTCCATTCAATAAAAAATAAAATAGAATTTTAAAAAGTGTATTTTCTTTATCTGTTCATGCTGGAAAAAGCTTGCACCCTTTTCATGAGCTTGATATCCCTTCTACCAACATGACAAAGGAACAATTGCAAAGCTTTACTGCAATATTTAATTTTTACTRCTAAATAAAGTAAGCTCTCACTGGTAACTCTTCTTCAGCTTCTTTAACTTGGACTGATAAAGAACACACCAAAGAGGCAGATAATRTGGGAACACAAAGAGATACTACAGATATGAAAATTAAATTCTTAAAATAACTGCTATTTATATAATTTTGAAATGAAAATTAAAAAAAAAATCATATTAATTTATTTTGGAATTGCTGGTTAGAGGAACTTTCTTCCAGAATCTAGGGACTATTCTACATGCCAGTTAAAGTTATTAATACATGCTAGTAAATGATTAAGATGCAGATTAACTCTGGAATGGCTGACAAAACTTTCAGTAGGGAGAACTATATTGAGACAGCATTTTAA